TCATTATTTCATCCTCTGTGTTGGTCACAGACAAAGTCTGTGTCCTGTAGGAGTCTGAGGTCACAGTCTGTGTCCTGTAGGAGTCTGAGGTCACAGTCTGTGTCCTGTAGGAGTCTGAGGTCACAGTCTGTGTCCTGTAGGAGTCTGAGGTCACAGTCTGTGTCCTGTAGTCAGTCTGTGTCCTGTAGGAGTCTGAGGTCACAGTCTGTGTCCTGTAGGAGTCTGAGGTCACAGTCTGTGTCCTGTAGGAGTCTGAGGTCACGGTGTGGACTGTGGGAGACTCTGCGCTGCACAGGGAACGTGGCCGTGCTCGTGCACGAGTTTAAATGTTTAATATTGTGGAGAATAATGAGTGGAATAAACAGCTCTGCTCCGTGTTTTGTGAACCAAACACTTAAATGCACAAATCTGAAGGTCATTCTTTTATATACGTATACACGTTTTCTGATGAATTCTTGAACAAACTCCTCTTCAAACTGTCTTCACTTCTGCTTCTCTTCACGAGTTGGTGTAGAGAGAAGCAAAGTGCTGCACTTAGGACGAGTTTCATAAATCCTGGGGTTGGCGGGAAGAGCGCGTATGCACGGATTTGTGTGTAAGCGTCAAGCGAGCTTTATAAATGAGGCCCCGGGACTAGACCAGGACTAGACCAAGACTGGACCAGGACCACAGGTGAGAGAAGGAGCGTAGATTTGGTGGTAAATGGAGGGCGTCTGACACAGACCTGTGACCCTGTGAAGGCCATAAAACAGATTTGGATGAACATTTGTGATCAGTTAAAAGTGGTGGGCTGTTTTATCGAGATGTTTTTGATATCGAGATGTTTTCGATATATCACACTTTTAAAAGTTCAACTGTTTTAAACTGAAACCACAGAAAACTAAAACTGAGCTGATGAAAACATGGACCAGACCTGAGCCCAAACCCAAACACGACCAGAGCCACTGCACGAGGAGTGGAAGGTCAGATCTTTTTCCAGACTTAAACTCGCTCCTTATTTTTCTCAGGTCTGGATTCTAAAACAGTCCCATCGACAGAACCAAGCAGAACCGAGCAGAACCTTTCCTGAATGTGTTTAGAACGATCTGGAGCTGGATCAGAACAAGTAAACTAAATCAGGACCAAACCAGGATTCTCGAGTCTCGAGTCTGTTCTTTAGGACTGAAATTCCATTTGAAATGTTATCAATGTGACAGTGACTCATGTGGAGTCTTTTATGTAGAAAGTAAAGTGTGAAATCAGATTAAACCAGAAAACAACCAAAGTCAAACTTAATTCACGTGACCTCGTGGGTTTGGTCACAACACTGTGAGAAAGAGCTGAGACACGAGCACATCCTATTTTGGTTTCATTATTTTATAGGTAATTTGGGTCACACAAGGATCCCTCTGCTTATGTCAGCAGAGGAAAAGTCCTTCCAAAACACAGAGACAGTTTAGGCACAAGAAACACACTCTGACATTTTATATCACTAAATAAAGCTGAGCTCTTTTATTTGAGTCCGGTCACGGCTCTTGAGTCGTTTACACACTCGACCGTTCACAAAATGAAAAAAGAAAAAACAAATCTGGGTCAAATCTGAAACCTGCATGAAGTCTCATCAAACACAAACCTGCACAAAAACCACGTCAGTCGTTTGTGCTGTAAAGTTTTGTAGATATTAACGATTATTTTATTGGTCAAATTGGGGTCAACAGTCCCCAGGAAACTTCAAAATGAAATAAAACGAGACAAAATGGAGTCAGTCGTTGTGTTTTGTGTTGTAAAGTTTGTTCATATTTTAAGAACCAGAATCACATAAACCAGTTTTATTTTGTGTCGATGAGTCAAAATGTGAAACAGCAGAAAATTTAACCAATTGTTTGTGTTTGGTTTGTGTTGTTTTGTGTGTGACTGTTATTTGTGTGAGTTTATTTCTAAAATGATTAATATTATTTTTGTGTAAATGATATTTTGGTCATTTCTGTTCAGTTGACGACAGCGACTTTAACAAAACTCCACAAAACTAGAAGAGAAACGACCCGAGTCTGTCAGCTGAGCGCAAAAGACCTCTTAGAAATGCTACAAAAATAATATGAATAATTTTAGAAATAAACTCACACAAATGAAACAGTCACACACAAAACAACACAAACGTTGGGAGAATTTTTGTGTAGTTGTGCGTTTGATGGGCGCGACTTCACGCAGGTCATCACGTGCACTTCCATGAGCGTCACGTGCACTTTCAGCAGAGTTCAGCCAAAACAAAAGTGCGACTTTTACTACAAATAACAAACATCAAACATCTTTTTTTTTCTTTAATGTTTTCTTTTTTTTTTGCTAAATGGGAAAAAAATCCTAAAACTGAAGATAAAAAGATCAAACATTTAAATATATTTAAAAATCATTGAAAAAGTGACAAAAGTTTTTAAAGTGCTGGAGTCCCTGAGGAGACTACATTTCCCATCATGCCTCGGTACTTCCTGTTCAGGGCCAGTACTTCCTGTTGGGCTCCGGAGACGCTTGGAAATATTCCTCCGGACTCACGGTCTTCACCCCCCCGAAGTAATCCAGGACCCAGACCTGAAACCAGACCAGAACCAGACCAGAACCAGATCAGAACCAGACAAGAACCAGAACTAAAACAGCTCTTAAACATGTCTAAACCAGACCAGAACCAGGACTAAACCAGGTCTAAACCAGGACTAAACCAGGACTTACCAGGGTGATGTTGAACTTGGCGAAGAACCATCCGTGGTCGTGGGGCCAGTCCATCATCTCCGGGTGTCGACTGAACAAAGACTTTTTAGCAAAATCCGCCTCCGATCCGTTTATCTACAGAACAGAACCAGAACCGGGTCAGGACCAGTAGTAGTAGTCGTAGTAGTAGTAGTAGTATTTGCAGTAGTATTTGCGGTACCTGTATTACAGAGCCGGACAGGATGACGTGGGCGCACAGGGGGCTCTGGGGGTCGTAGCCTGAGTCTCTGCAGAAGTCGGTCTGAGCCAAAGACACGGACAAAGACGAGACCGGACTCACCTGTGTACAAATACACAACAAGTACACAACAAGTACACAACAAGTACTACATATACTATATACAAGTACACTGCTCAAGTACAAGTACAAGTTCAAATACACTGCTCACAAAAATGAAAGGAGAACTTTGAAAACACATCACGCTCCGGTTTCCCCCATCAGCCCAAAACAACAAGCTCCAGGTCTCCAGAACAGACGATCGTCCAGGTCAGTTAAACACAAGCAATGAACCAGAGACGACAGGTGCAAATGAACTCTGGTCCTCCAACCTGATGTACAAACATCTCTCCTGTTAAGGTTCATGTAAAACCTGCGCTGTCCCTGTCTCAGATAAATAAATAAATAAATCAGACCAACGTCTGTTTATCTACAAAGTAAAAGTACAGAGTAAAAGTACAGAGTAAAAGTACAGAGTAAAAGTACAGAGTAAATCTGGGAAGGCAGGTCCATGGACGGACGCACAGACGACTACGTCTGACTCCATCAGGTATCGAGATGAAACCCTTGAACCCACTGCCTCCGCTGGAGCAGAAGGTCCTGGTCCCTCCTGATGCTCGACACCTGGCCTCATGTGGAAGAATCTGCAGCAGAACCTGGAGGATGAAGAATCTACACGACTGAACGTCCCTCATCATGACCCGACTCAAACCCGACAGAACCTCTGGGACGAGACGTTTGGCTCCATCAGACACTCCAGGTTCCTTCTCAGACTCTACAGGAGCTCAGTGATGCTCACACAGACCTGAGAACACCCGACAAGAAGAACACCCCACAAGAAGAACACCCCACAAGAAGAACACCCCACAAGAAGACACCCACAAGAAGAAACACCCGACACGTACAACACCCGACACGAACAACACCCGACAAGAAGAACACCCCACAAGAAGAACACCCGACAAGAAGAACACCCGACAAGAACACCCGACACCCGAAGAACACCACAGAAGAACACCCACAAGAAGAACACCCGACAAGAACACCCGACAAGAAGAACACCCGACAAGAAGAACACCCGACAAGAAGAACACCCGACAAGAACACCGACGAACAACACCCACAAGAAAACACCCCACACAAGAAGAACACCCGACAAGAAGAACACCCGACAAGAAGAACACCCGACACGAACAACACCCGACAAGAAGAACACCCGACAAGAAGAACACCCGACACGAAGAACACCCGACAAGAACAACACCCGACCCGACACAGAACAACACCCGACAAGAAGAACACCCGACAAGAAGAACACCCCACAAGAAGAACACCCCACAAGAAGAACACCCCACAAGAAGAACACCCGACAACAAGAACAAGAACACCCGACAAGAAGAACACCCGACACGACAAGAAGAACACCCGACACGAACAACACCCGAAGACACCCGACAACAACACCGACAAGAAGAACACCCGACAAGAGAAGAACACCCCACAAGAAGAACACCCGACAAGAAGAACACCCGACACAACACCCGAAAGAAACACCCACAAGAAGAACACCCACAAGAACAACACCCCACAAGAACAACACCCCACAAGAACAACACCCCACAAGAAGAACACCCCACAAGAAGAACACCCCACAAAGAAGAACACCCACAAGAACAACACCCAGAAGAACACACAAGAAGAACACCCACAAGAACAACACCCCACAAGAACAACACCCCACAAGAAGAACACCCCACAAGAAGAACACCCCACAAGAAGAACACCCCACAAGAAGAACACCCGACACGAACACACCCGACACGAACAACACCCCACAAGAAGAACAACCCACAAGAACAACACCCCACAAGAAGAACACCCCACAAGAAGAACACCCCACAAGAAGAACACCCACAAGAAGAACACTCCACAAGAACAACACCCCACAAGAAGAACACCCCACAAGAAGAACACTCCACAAGAACAACACCCCACAAGAAGAACACCCGACACGAACAACACCCCACAAGAAGACACCCACAAGAACAACACCACAAGAAGAACACCCCACAAGAAGAACACCCCACAAGAACAAGAACACCCACAAGAACAACACCCCACAAGAAGAACACCCCACAAGAAGAACAACACCACCACAAGAAGAACACCCCACAACAAGAACAACACACCCACAAGAACAACACACCACAGAAGAACACCCACAAGAACACCCCACAAAGAAGAACACCCCACAAGAACAACACCCCACAAGAACACCCACAAGAGAACACCCACAGAAGAACACCCCACAAGAACACCCCACAAGAACACCCGACAAGAACAACACCCACAAGAAGAACACCCACAAGAAGAACACACCGACAAACAACACCCGACACGAACAACACCCCACAAGAAGAACACCCACACCCCACAAGAAGAACACCCCACAAGAAGAACACCACACAAGAACACCCCACAAGAAGAACACCCACAAGAAGAACACCCACAAGAACAACACCCCACAAGAAGAACACCCACAAGAAGAACACCCCACAGAACAACACCACAAGAACACCGACACAACACCCCACAGAAGAACAACACCCCACAAGAAGAACACCCACAAGAAGAACAAGAACACCCCACAAGAAGAACACCCCACAAGAAGAACACCCCACAAGAAGAACACCCCACAAGAAAGAACAACACCCACAAGAAGAACAAGAACACCCACAAGAAGAACACCCCACAAGAAGAACACCCCACAAGAACAACACCCCACAAGAAGAACACCCCACAAGAACACCCCACAAGAAGAACACCCCACAAGAAGAACACCCCACAAGAACAACACCCCACAAGAAGAACACCCCACAAGAAGAACACCCCACAAGAACAACACCCCACAAGAACAACACCCCACAAGAACAACACCCCACAAGAACAACACCCCACAAGACTCCAGCAGCTGCCTCATCAAGAGCGACACGAGTCAAACAGGAGCAGGACATGAGGAGCCGCACTAGACACTGAAGCATTTAGAGTCACACAAACGACTTTTATCCAAAAGTCTGATCGTTATTTCACTTTGATAAAATGAAGCGTCTGAAAATGTGATTTCCATAAAAACTGAAGAACGACACGAACGAACGACACAAACACCTGAGGGTTTCACATGGAGATCTGAGGTGTTTTCAAAGTGTTCCTCTCAGTTTTGGAGCAGAAATACAAATACACAAAATATACAAAATACTCTCTATACTCCCATCAGGTACTCATGAGTAAAAGTACAGTACTAAAGGCACAACAGACGTGTGACCCTGAGATCATGTGATCATGTGACTGTGAAATGCTGAGTTGCTGTGACGGAAACTTCAACAGAAACTTTTAAAACATCATAAAACTGAAGGAACAACAACAGACTAAAGTCCAGGTCTAGTCCAGGTCTAGTCCAGGTCTAGTCCAGGTCTAGTCCAGCTCACCTGCAGGTCCTGCACAGAGATCTCCAGGGGGGTGAGGTACAGGTACGGGACCCCTGAGCTCTGGAGCTGTGGGCCGTCGCTGATGGAGAAAACGTTTGAGAACGGCTGCCCCTCGACCGGCGCCCGCGACGCCACCGTCGCCAGGGACGCCCAGTCACACAAGTGCACCACGAACCTCGCCACACGTGCCACCTGCAACACAACACAGTCACACACCACGAACCTCGTCACACAACAGTCACACACCACAAACCTCGTCACACAACACAGTCACACACACGAACCTCGTCACACAACAGTCACACACCACAAACCTCGTCACACAACACAGTCACACACCACAAACCTCGCCACACGTGCCACCTGCAACACAACACAGTCACACACCACGAACCTCGTCACACAACAGTCACACACCACACAACCTCGCACACACACAACACAGTCACACACACGAACTCGTCGTCACACAACACAGTCACACACACACACAACCTCGCACACGTCACCTGCACACACACAGTCACACACCACAAACCTCGCACACAACACAGTCACACACACACACACCTCGTCACACACACAGTCACACACCACAGAACCTCGTCACACAACACAGTCACACACCACGAACCTCGTCACACAACACAGTCACACACCACGAACCTCGCCACACGTGCCACCTGCAACACAACACAGTCACACACCACAAACCTCGTCACACAACACAGTCACACACACACACACAACCTCGTCACACAACACACACAGTCACACACCACGAACCTCGTCACAACACACAGTCTCACACACACCACGAACCTCGTCACACACACAGTCACACACCACGAACCTCGTCACACACAACACAGTCACACACACACACAGAACCTCGTCACACAACACAGTCACACACCACGAACCTCGCCACACGTGCCACCTGCAACACAACACAGTCACACACCACAAACCTCGTCACACAACACAGTCACACACCACAAACCTCGTCACACACACACACACTCACACACCACGAACACCTCGTCACACAACACAGTCACACACACACGAACCTCGTCACACACACACAGTCACACACACGAACCTCGTCACACAACACAGTCACACACCACGAACCTCACACACCACGACCTCGTCACACAACACAGTCACACACCACGAACCTCGTCACACAACACAGTCACACACCACAGAACCTCGTCACACAACACAGTCACACACCACGAACCTCGCCACACAACACAGTCACACACCACGAACCTCGTCACACAACACAGTCACACACCACGAACCTCGTCACACAACACAGTCACACACCACGAACCTCGTCACACAACACAGTCACACACCACGACAAACCTCGTCACACAACACAGTCACACACCACGAACCTCGTCACACAACACAGTCACACACCACGAACCTCGTCACACAACACAGTCACACACCACGACACACTCGTCACACAACACAGTCACACACCACAACACACTCGTCACACAACACAGTCACACACCACGAACCTCGTCACACAACACAGTCACACACCACGAACCTCGTCACACAACACAGTCACACACCACGAACCTCGTCACACAACACAGTGAAGTACAGACCGTGTGCAGTACAGACCGTGTGCAGTACAGACTAAATAAACTCGGTCAAATTCACTTTTCAAACTCACTAAAACAAACTGAACTTGTGAAACTTCCTGCAGGTTTGTGGAGACACAAATGTCAAACTACAGGGAGATAAAAGCGTAAAGTCCAGACCTGGTCGTGCGGGGGGATGTGGAGGCTGCAGGCGGGGACAGAGGACACCTGAGACCCGGAGAACCAGAACAGAACCCCGAGGACCAGCGCCACCCGAGCCCGGACAGGAGCGCTCATGTTCGGCCGAGAGTCTGAGGACGAGTCGATGAAAAGAACCGCGGTTGGAGCGCTGGATGTGTCCAAACTGAGACGGACGTAAACAAGTCCCACATATGTCCCCCTGATAAGACACAGGAAGCAGATAAGGACAGACGCTTTCACATTAAGAGCCCCGGAGGAGACCGAGGCGCGGGGCGGACTGTGGCCGGAAACAGCGGCTCACAGGCGGTAAAGAGCCGGACACACCCGAGGGTCAGAGGCGGAAAAGAGCCGCTGTTCCGGTTTAATTAAAAATGAAATAGTTTAAATACGCGGTCTGTGGTTAGCTTTAGCCACAACACCGGAAATGCACTTTCAAAATAAGAGTCATTGTTATGAAACGTGAACTGCGCTGACGCCGCACGGCCACGAGAGGGCGCCCCGGGCTCATTCCAAAACGAAAGGCTCAATTATTATTATTATTTATTTATTTTTTTTTCTTTATTGATATGATTGATGAATAGATTAATAATAATTTAATAATAGATGAATAACTGAATAATAGACAAAAACAGAAATACACACACAAAAGAAATATACTTGAGAAATAAACAGAGCAAAACTCTTTTATTACAAACAAAAACCGTTGAAATAAACAGAATTAAAGAGTGAACAGTGTGTGTACAGTGTGTGTTTGTGTGTGAATGGTGTATAGCGTGTGTGTTTGTGCGTTTATGTCGTTGTGTTCTTGATCTCAGACACGTAGAATTTCTCTCGACACGCGGCGCTGCGGCACAAACACGGCACTTCCTGGATCCCCGTCTCCATTTCCTGTCCACCACTGTCCACTTCCTGCGACGGGGCGGAGTTATAGTCCCACGTGAGCTCCGTACCTGCCTTCAACGCCCTGAAGAAGAAAGACCTGGTTTAGACCTGGTTTAGACCTGGTTTAGTCCTGTTTAGTCCTGGTTCAGTCCTGGTTCAGTCCTGGTTCAGTCCTAGTTCAGTCCTGGGTTAGTCCTGGTTGTACCTCTTGGTGAAGAAGGCGATGTTTGGGAACTTTTTGTCGTGTGAATCGGTGAAAACATTTTGGATGAAGAGCGTCGGGTCACAGGAGTGCTGCAAAAACACAAGAGCAGAGGAAGAGGAGGAGGAAGAGAGGAGGAGGAAGAGAGGAAGAGGAGGAGGAAGAGGAAGAGAGGAGGAGGAAAGGAGGCGGAAGAGAGGAAGAGGAGGAGGAAGAGAGGAGGAGGAAAGGAGGAGGAAGAGAGGAAGAGGAGGAGGAAGAGAGGAGGAGGAAAGGAGGAGGAAGAGAGGAAGAGAGAGGAGGAAGAGGAAGAGAGGAGGAGGAAAGGAGGCGGAAGAGAGGAAGAAGAGGAGGAAGAGAGGAGGAAGAGAGGAGGAGGAGGAAAGGAGGAGGAAGAGAGGAAGAGGAGGAGGAGGAGGAAGAGAGGAAGAGGAGGAGGAGGAAGAGAGGAAGAGGAGGAGGAAGAGAGGAGGAGGAAGAGAGGAAGAGGAGGAGGAAGAGGAGGAAGAGAGGAAGAGGAGGAGCAGCGTCATCACAATAGTAAAATCTCAAACTCTTTTCTTTCTTTCTTTCTCTGGTTCTTACGTTGAAGAAGCGGCTCACGTTTCCCTCTTTACTCGCATCAATCAGGTAAAAGTCCTCCAGCCCCAAAGTCCGAGTCCGGTCCTGGGTCCGATCTTGGGTCCGGTCCTGGCTCCGGTCTACAGCCCGTTTTGTCCCGTTCACTATGGTGTGCTCTGACCCGGTGTGTCCAGATGGGGGCGCTTTCTGCTCCTGGAACAGGGACACGGAGGGCATCAGGGACATGGGGAGGGCACCTGACACACGGGGAGGGCACCTGACACACGGGGAGGGCACCTGACACATCCTGTCCTCACCTGTCCCGTGACATCACTTCCTCTCTGGATGACAGGTACGTGGGCGGAGTCGGCGTTTGGGGGCGGAGTCAGGGGCGACGGGAGCCACTCGGTGACGAGCTGCACCTCGTCATCAGCGGCGAGCTCCGCCCTTCTCTGCTTCAGGGGCGGGGCCTCGAGCTGTCCGTCACTCCTCTGCAGAACCACGCCTACAACGAAACGGGAAGATGAGAGGACGCCATTTTGAACCAGTGCCACGAAACCAGAACTAAACCAGGACTAACCCAGGACTAGATCAGGACTAAACCAGGACTCACCTGCATAGACACAGATGAAAGTTCCCTGGTCCAGGTCGTCTTTACAGCGCACTCCCCAGCCGCGGCCTGGGCTCTGGGTCTGGTCTGGGTCTGGTTTCGGGTCTGGACACTGGGCTTGACCCTGGTCTGTGCCGGGACTAGTCCTGTAGACCTGCAAACGGACCCTCAGACCCCTCTGGACCACTTGGTTCTGACAGAGACCAGGATCACAGCCGCACCAGGGACCACACTCAAAGATCCTGCAAGAAACCAGAGACAATTAACCAAGACTAAACCAGGTCTGAACCAGGTCTAAACCAGGTCTAAAGCAGGATTGAACCAGGTCTGAACCAGGTCTAAAGCAGGACTCGTGTGCCGTACCCGGTGTGGATGGGCGCGGGCAGGCGTTGGTGGTGGTATCCTCGGCCGGCGTTGAGCTCGGCGCAGGCGCAGGCTCCACAGCTCCCGCTGCAGTCGCAGAAGGCGGAGTACAGGTGGGGGTGGCGGGACAGGAAGCACCCGCGCGGCCAACGGTCACGACGGTACTTGAATATCGGGGGGCGCTCTCCCTCTGACACACACAGCTCCACCGGCACCAGCTCCTGGCCCCGACTCAGGTCTGGACCCGAGACCGGACCAGGGACCGGACCCGGGAGCGGACCCGGGAGCGGACCAGAGACCGGATCAGGGACCGGACCAGGTGCCGGACCAGAGACTAGACCGGGACTCAGAGGCTCCACAGAGACGTGTGGGTTGAAGGAGAACAGGTCCAACTGAAACAGAATAAGATGTAAAACCAGAGTTATGTTTGTAACTGTGGTTCTATGAGTCCTACTGACCTCCAGAGTCGTGAGTCTCTGGACGATCATCTCATGTTCACGTCCAGAATCTAATGACACAAAGTCCCTGTGAACTCCTTGAGTCCCTCGTGAGAGTCTGTATAGTCACATGACCCCGAGAGCTCGGTCCCTGTTCTTCTCGCGAGCTTCAGCGAAGTCTGAGGGACTGAGCTCTCCAGCGCTCGGGGATTCATAGAACTGCAGTTACATAAGTAACTCTCGTTCTGTTTCACCTCGACTGACCTCTAGAGGCAGAGCTTCAAGCACATAAACGCAGGATGAGGACGAGGGGCAGGAGGACGAGGGGCAGGAGGACGAGGGGCAGGAGGACGAGGGGCAGGAGGACGAGGGGCAGGAGGACGAGAGCAGGAGGACGAGGGGCAGGAGGACGAGGGGCAGGAGGACGAGGGGCAGGAGGAGGGCAGGAGGAGAGAGGAGAGGAGGACGAGGGGCAGGAGGACGAGGAGACGAGGGCAGGAGGACGAGAGCAGGAGGACGAGAGCAGGAGACGAGGGGCAGGAGGACGAGGGGCAGGAGGACGAGGGGCAGGAGGACGAGGGGCAGGAGGAGGACGAGGGGCAGGAGGACGAGAGCAGAGGACGAGGGGCAGGAGGACGAGGGGCAGGAGGACGAGGGCAGGAGGACGAGGGGCAGGAGGACGAGAGCAGGAGAGGAGCAGGAGAGGACGAGGGGCAGGAGGACGAGGGGCAGGAGGACGAGAGCAGGAGGACGAGAGCAGGAGGACGAGGGGCAGGAGGACGAGGGGGACGACAGGAGGACGAGGGGCAGGAGGACGAGGGGCAGGAGGACGAGAGCAGGAGGACGAGAGCAGGAGGATGAGGTGCACGACGTTGAGGGATTCGCCTGAAGAGACCAACAAACTGATTCCTAGTGCGACTTGCACTGAACGCTCCAGCGTTTCCAGCGTCGCTGCACAAAAGAGCTCCACACGTTCAACTCGACCAACTGCGCGAAAAGAAAACCAGAGACTCTCAGAGTCACGAGACGTACAGAAAAACGACGAACACAGAGACGTCACAGGGACTTTGTGTCGTTAGATTCTCAACCTGTGCAAAGATCATTCAGTGTCTGACACAAAGTCAGTAGGGAACCAGGTCTAAACCAGGTCTAAACCAGGACTAAAAAAGATCTAAACCAGTTCTAAACTGGGACTAAACCAGGTCTAGTCGAACCTGCAGGAGGTGGAAGCTCTGGGTCTGGAGCAGGAAGTCCATCACAGCATCAGGGTCAGAGAGGCGGAGCCCGCAGGGCGCCACGTATACCATGCTGCGCTCTGATTGGTCCGTCGGCTCCAGGCCGCGCCCTGTTTGGTCCGTCTGCTCCACGCCGCTCTCTGATTGGTTGGCGCGGTAAAAGCCGTACACCAGAGGGATCTGCAGAGGGTTCAGCGTCCAGACTCCAGACTGAGGCACGCTGGGTAATGTAGGCACACAGGACTACAACAGAGACAAGAACAGGCACATGTCAGATGCCCTCCCGTGTGTCAGATGCCCTCCCCGCGTGTGTCAGGTGCCCTCCCCGCGTGTGTCAGGTGCCCTCCCCGCGTGTGTCAGGTGCCCTCCCCGCGTGTGTCAGGTGCCCTCCCGTGGGCCAGACCTTGCTGCAGCAGTGTTCCTCATACACAGGGGGCGCTGGAGGGCCTGGGGCAGGAGGAGATGTGGAGGGGGCAGTGTCTGTGAGGAGCAGAGGGTCAGAGATCAGGGGCCAGAGTTCAGGGGTCAGATTTCGGGTAAAACAGCTGAGACGTACCTGAGCCAATCACAACCTGCACGACGGAGGGTGGGGTTAAAGACGGCCAATCAAATGCCTCCAGCAACTTCAGACTCTGCACCAGGTCTGAAAGAAACGAGTTACAGTTGTAGGGAGTATTATCTGTTACATAAGGGTGAGTTATACAGTTGTAGGGAGTATTATCTGTCCCCACCACAGACTGGTAGAACATCTCCATACCACAGTGAAATGCCACCAAGTCTGTGCAATTCATTGAATTTTGAGCGCGATTATGATTTGTGTGTCCAAAGATCTACAAACTCACATAATCAAGTTGAAACGATTAAAACTTAAGCTTATTTCATATTCAAAATGTATTTTATTAATTTTATGTTTTATACTTCGCAAAACTTCTGTAAGGTTCAGATCTGGAGCTGATGTTTATTTTCAGTTTGAAAGTTTTGTGTAAATTATTAATAACAAAGATTTTTTAAGAGAGAGAAATGCTGAGTAAATGCATCGTGTAACTAAAAAAATCATGTTTGGAATAATCGTGATTTCAATATTGACCAAAATAATCGTGATAATGACTTTTTCCATAATCGAGCAGATCTACTGGCCCCACAGAGAGAAGATCCAGAACCTTCTGCACAGTGAAAGACCTGAGCTCCCTCCAGTCCAGTCTCCTCACGCTCGTCTTGTACACAGCATCACAGTTAGAGTTAGAGTCTCCCCAGTCCAGTCTGTGGCTCACCTGGACCACACACTCTATATGTGTGTCTCTGTGTGTGTGTGTCTCTGTGTGTGTTTGTGTGTCTGTCTCTGTGTGTGTGTGTCTCTGTGTGTGTGTGTGTGTGTGTGTCTCTCTCTGTGTGTCTATGTGTGTGTTTGTATGTGTCTCTGTGTGTGTGTGTGTCTCTGTGTGTGTGTGTGTCTCTCTCTGTGTGTCTCTGTGTGTCTCTCTGTGTGTGTGTCTCTCTGTGTGTGTGTGTCTCTCTGTGTGTGTCTCTGTGTGTGTCTCTGTGTGTGTCTCTGTGTGTGTCTCTGTGTGTGTCTCTGTGTGTGTGTGTGTGTGTGTGTGTGTTTGTGTGTGTGTTTGTACCTTTGTTCGTGGCTCCGCTCTTCAGTCGGGTCTGGAGCAGGTTCAGGTGGATCCGGATCTCAGAGAAGACAGAGTCCACATCCTGAGTGGACCAGAACAGCCTGGCCCGGTCTGGACAGGGACAAACCAGGTCAAACCAGGACTAAACCGGGACTAAACCAGGACTAAACCAGGACTAAACCAGAACTAAACCGGGACTAAAGCAGGACTAAACCAGGACTAAACCGGGACTAAACCTGGACTAAACCAGAACTAAACCGGGACTAAACCAGAGATTAAACCAGTCCCACTCAGCATCTTCCTATTGAACTGACTGAGGACAAACTGCAGGTTAAATCCTTTGGACTCACCGGTCTGGCTCAGCTCTGTGTCTGTGTCCTCCTCCATGTTTTTAGCCGCAGATGCTAACGCTCCTTAAACCGTTACAAAACCGCTTTTAACACCATTTAAAAACATCCAGAGCGACGTACAGCCGCGAACACACCTGGCATAAACCAGTGCAGCCTAAACATGCGTGGAAACTCTCACTTGTCGCGTTTATCTCGAGTTTTAAGATTCGGAAAACACAAAACAGAAACACGCGAGCAGCGCGTCCATTCAGAGCGCGCTTTGGCCCGTCACGGCCTCCGTACACCATGTAAACAAACGAAAAAAACTCCCATAATTTTAACTTTACCTTTAATAATAATAATAGTAATAATGACAATAATATAAAAATATTTTTTGGATTATAGTTGCATTGTCAGAATACCGAGGGCATTGTGCTGCTTTAATATATAAAATACAAATAAAAATAAAAGTTTTAAAATTGGGTTTTAAAGACTATTATTCTCCTGAAAGTTAACTTACAGAGCATAAACATTTCGCAAAAGGTTAATATATATTTCTTTTTCATAAAAGGTTAAACACGTAAGTTTATGTTTTTTTAAAAAATCTGTTTCATAAAATCATATCAGACGAAAAGCACTTCCGGTCCTCTCCCTGTGCACTTCCGCTGTTTTATAAGACTTAAATAAAAGTTGTGTAACAAAGACCAGGCCGCAGGTACGAGCTGTGAGCAGGTGAGCGCTTTACTTTCTACCTCATTATTTAGTGTACAAAAGCAGGAATTATTCATTATACAGAGGTTTAACTTCACATTGTTCACATAACGGGATTGACGCTCTGGCGTTTCAAAATAAACTCCTCACCTCAGGATTAAAGCTTCACTTTAATCCACTGTGAGTGTGATGGAGGCAGTGCATTTCCAGTTGAATAAAACTAGTCCACAAGCAAGGAGTGTACAGTAGGTGATAAAGTCTGGCTAGGTGATGAAGTAAGGCTTCAGCAGAACTCCAGACAGGGCCGTCACCGGTTGAGGATCTGAGAGAAGCCTCAAAGTTCCAGACAGCATCTTGAACACTTGAGTCCAGAAAGGGAAATGATTCACATGAATGGGTCCTAAGAATGAGAGGGCGTGTGTTTCCTCATCTGCTTCCTGATTTTAAGAGTGGCAGACACCTGTTGATTCTTTGTGAAGGGATATGAATGAGCTGAAAGTGAGGAGTGCACTAGAGCAGCTAACGAGGAGGGACTGCAGGACCGTGCTTCCAAAATACACCACAAAGGGGCGTCGGCACCTGGGTCTTCATATAGCCAGTGAATATTTTGGTGGATATTCACTGCCCAATAATAGAAGTGGAAATTGGGGAGTACCATACCACCTAATTCTTTTGGCCACTGTAAATAAACTTTGTTTAAGCGCGGAGGTTTTTGGTCCCAGGTAAAACCAGAGATAATATTATCACATTTTTTTAAAGAAAGAGTTGGGAATAAATATTGGAATGCACTGAGTAGAGCATAAGGGGCATAAGTGTGTGAGGAAAAGAGCAGATGTCCAGCAGAGGGCGCAATAGAACAGGAGAAGAGGACACACAGAAGGTTCAGAACAGTGAGTGAAGTGAGTCGCTCTGAAGTTGCTGAATGGTGCAGAAAATATTCAGGATTACTCAAACATCTGTCATTTCCAAATAGCATTGAAAAGAATTATTTAACACACTTTTTATTTATTCATTTTTAATATTACAATGTTGTTTACATGTTGTTTACATGATGTTTACATGATGTTTACATGATGTTTTCTAGTTTAGTTGCATCACACTCGTCCAAAGTTTTGAGTGGAGCTAATGAGACAAAGTCCATCAGTTGTGAACATTTTCTCAACAACATTCGGCTGCACTGGGGTTGCGATTTTACATGTCAAAAAGTATTATGTAATATTCAAGAGACAGAGACAGAGACAGAGAGAGAAAGTTCTGAAATGTAACTTGGTAAGACCTAAATGAGCTTTAAAAGTGATCAGTAAAATGTTAAAATCAATTCTAAAACACAGAGGCTCCAGTGAAGGACGTAAAACAGGGTCATGTGTTGATGTTAAACCCAGTGAGGAGCCGAGCTGCTGCGGTAACACAATGTCAGCGATAAAAGACACAAATGAAGGGTCAAAAATACAAATGTTTTACTAAAATATGGCCAACTGAGCAAAATCTCAAAAACTGTTAATATATTTTGTATAGGTGAAGTAGTCTGAAGTCAGACTAAAAGTAGAGCCCAAAATGATCCCAGTGTTATTTTATGGTGGAGGAACTTCAACGTAACTGTCATTTCATTATTTGTATTTATCATTTTATAACATGTCCTCTGTAATGGACGCCGGGGACATTTTGTTGTTAAATCCATGAAGTTAACCACCTAACAATAACAACTTTCTGTTTCTGACCACAAACTAACTCCTGGCCATAATAGTAGCCTATAATCCCCCTGCCCTGTTTAGTGAGAGGATCTTTGCCCACTCATGCACACAGAGCCAGCTCACTGTTGTTTAAACCTGCAGTTGTAATAGAGAAATGACAGATTATTGAAATATTTGATTGTACTATTTTATTTTCTAAATGAGGCTTATCAGTGCTGTGTTTTAGAAGATAATCAGACTTACTCTGCATCTACGTAATGGACATGTATAAACTGGTTATGATTTTAAGAATAATATGTTAGAATATTTCAGCTGTGAGCCTCTTTGGAAGTGCATCTGGGCCACGTTAACTGTTTCTCTTTCTGTCCAAAGTAAATGACATCATGGTGTGTGGAGGGACACGTGTATCCAGTGGTGACGCCAGTTTCGAATGATTTGATATTATATTGAATATCATTGCGTCCCTGTTTTATAAAAAACATTTACACCTATTAAAAACCCAAACTTGACTACAGTACTTATATTTATAGCACAGTGTTTTCTCCTTTTTACTGGATAATTTTACTCAAATCAGTGCAGCAGAATGTCAGGATTGAATGAATACAGAATACGGCAGCGGTTGCTGTTGCCATGGCAACCGACCCTTGATAGTGAAATTCCATTCTAGAGACAAGCTTTGAATGCTGAGCTTTGAAGTTCTTTGAAGTTAGCTTCTCAAAGCTAACTTCAAAGCTCAGGGCAGCTGAAAAGAGTGTAAGTGTAGGCTCTCTCTCAGTTTTCAGGTAGTTTGGACGTGAACAAGGACTTGGACGTGAACATGGGTAACAGAATCCCTACACCCCCTGTAGAGAGACCCTCCTCCGACTCACCAGTTGGGAGCCAGGAGAGTCCTCAGAGTCGCCTTGAGAGTTTGTGGTCAGCTCCTGACCTGACAGTTGCAGAAGACAGTGTACTTTCCAATGTCACTGTTTCCTCTCAGAGCAATCTGACCAGTAGCAGTACTGGTAGTAGTGGTAGTAACAAGTCATCCATTTTGACTTTGTTTAGAAGTTTTATGAAGTCCAAAAAGAAAAGTGAAAGTGATTCTTCCTCCAAACAGGGAAGTTCCAATGACTTTCATTATTATCCAGAAGCCCCTACCTCTGGAGATGACAAAGACGACAAAACTTCTCTAGAGGACAGAGCTTCTCTAGAGGACAGAACATGTCAAGAGGACAGTACTCCTCCATCTGCCAAGAGTAGCAGTAGGAGTAACAGTAGTAATAGTAGTAATACTGGCAGTACCGGTTCCTCAGTTAGGAATTTCTTTAAACGCCTCCGTAAGCCTAAAAAGAAATCTTCCTTCTCGTCACAGAAATCTGATGGGGAAATGATAGAGGGATGTACAGAGCCTGCTTTTTGTTATTATTCTGATGGAGACATTTCTTCATCTTCATCTACATCTTCTTCTTCGGTCAGTTCTGGGTCTTCTGTTTTTTTTCCAAGGCGTTTCTTCCCAAACAAACAAACTGCAGACAAACTGGATGTAGACCACCTGCCTGCATTCAGCTGGAGGTCCCCTTGGGCTTGGCTTAGGTCAACATTCATGTACTGGGCCAAAGCAAAGCTGTGGCCGTGGTACGACCAGTGGGAGTTTGTCATTGTCTTGGTGTTGACTGGAATGGCCCTCCTGATTTTCTTTGTCGTCGCAATGTAAGTCATTGGTACGATGATGTAAGTCATCAGCGTGATGTAATTCATCGGCACTAGTCCATGTGGAACAGGAACTGCAGTTTGTGCTGTTCAGGTTTCACTTGACGGTGGGATGAAGCTTTCACATGTAGAGGGACTTTAAGTTGCCACATTAGTGTCGGACAGTGAGTGACTGTGTGATGTTAGTGTTAGTGTAACTTTATTGTGCATGTTTTATTTGTATGTTATTCTTGTTGTTCTTGTTCTTGTCGTTGAAAACTAGCAAATAATAATATTTATTTATTCACTTATTTATTCATTTATTTATTTATTTATTGTTTTCCACATAATGGTCTCATTGTGTACAGTGTGCCTTACATATTGGAGCAAAAGAGCCCTTTTCAATGCAATAAATATTAAACTAATGAATATTGTGTGTGTGTATATATATAAATTACACTTCTACAGGTGGATTTGAACACGCTAACCGTAACCCTAATATGTCCTACAGGTCTATTTTTATTTCTGTAGTGTTTTTATATTATTTGTGTCTTGTACACTGTCATTGGTTGTACCATTAATAAAAGAGATCACAGTGACGTGTAGTAAAATACAGATGTGTAGAACGCCTCGTACTGATCACTTTGCCTCTGACATTTTATGTACATGATACTTATATATGAACACACACACACAGATTATAGAATACACTTTTATACACTTGTATAGTAGAGACACAGACTCTCACCATCTCATGATATTATATTTAGGAATCATCCTCTCTGATCAAGAGGAACTATAGTTTAACATACATCAGATGCCCTCCCAGAGGGAGCGTAAACAGAAAAGCACTCTCTTATGTAGTCTGTGGTTTTACTACTACTGAAATAAATATTAAAAGTATATTATTCTCACATTCTATCATCAGACTCTCTGATTGGCTCACGGGTTTGTCCTCTGATTGGTTCACAGGTCTCTCCTCTGATTGGTTCACAGAGATGTCCGTCACCCGCTCTGTGTGCTCTGCCCTTTGGGGCATGTGTGCGGGCGACGCCATGGCGATGCCCGTGCACTGGTTCTACCACGTGGATCACATCAAGTCCCAGTTTGGCTCCTGGATCTCGGATTTCAAAGCCCCCAAAGAGACGCACCCCTCCAGCATCATGAGCCTGTCCAACCCGGGTCAGAACCACAGACCGCCACAACACCGACCACAACACCGACCACAACACCGACCACAACACCGACCACAACACCGACCACCACACCGACCACCACACCACCACCGACCACAACACCGACCACAACACCGACCACAACCACACCGACCCACCACACACGACCACCACACCGACCACAACACCGACCAAAACACCGGACCACCAACCGACACACCGACCACAACACCGACCAACACACCGACCACAACACCGACCACAACACCGACCAAAACACCGACCACAACACCGACCACAACACACCGACACACACACCGACCACCACACCGACCACCACACCGACCACACACACCGACCACACCGACCAACACCGACCACCACACCGACCACCACACCGACCACCACACCGACCACAACACCGACCACAACACCGACCACAACACCGACCACAACACCGACCACACACACGACCACACCGAACACCGACCACCACACCGACCACAACACCGACCACAAACACACCGACCACCACCGACCACACCACCACACGACCACCACACCGACCACCAACACCGACCACAACAACCCGACCACACCACCGACCACCACACCGACCACAACACCGACCACAACCACCGACCACCACACCGACCACCAACACCGACCACAACACCACGACCACCACCACCACCGACCACAACACCGACCACACCACACCGACCAAACCCGAACACCGACCACCACACCGACCACAAACACCGACCAAAACACCGACCGACCACCACACCGACCACCACACCGACCACAACACCGACCACAACACCGACCACAACACCGACCACACACCGACCACAACACCGACCACAACACCGACCAAAACACCGACCACAACACCGACCACAACACCGACCACAACACCGACCACACACCGACCACACACCGACCACCACACCGACCACAACACCGACCACCACACCGACCAAAACACCGACCACCACACCGACCACAACACCGACCACAACACACCGACCAAACACACCGACCACAACACCGACCACAACACCGACCACAACACCGACCACCACACCGACCACCACACCGACCAAAACACCGACCAAAACACCGACCACAACACCGACCACAACACCGACCACAACACCGACCACAACACCGACCAAAACACCGACCAAAACACCGACCAAAACACCGACCACAACACCGACCACACACCGACCAAGACCACACACCACCACGACCACAACACCGACCACACACCGACCACAACACCGACCACGACACCGACCACAACACCGACCACAACACCGACCAAAACACCGACCAAAACACCGACTAAGACATCGACCAAAACACTGACCGCAACACTGACCAAGACACCGACCAAAACATCGACCAAAACGACACCGACCAAAACATCGCTGAGTACTGGCCTCGTCGAGAAAACTGGTTTGTTTTTGGATTAGCCTTGGTTTAGTCAAATTTTAGACCTGCTTTAGACCTACTTTTGTCCTGGTTTAGTCCTGGTTCTGACACGGTCTTGTGTTTTCAGCCGGCAGTGGCCGAACCTCCAGTTTGTCTCCCAAAGAACCGGACGTGATTGGGACCATCATCCTCCACAACAAACTGCACCTGTGGAGAGACCCGAGCGGAACCGTGCACTACCACCAAGGTCTGGAGAGGCCCGCTTTAGTCCTGGTTTAGTCCTGGTTTAGACCTGCTTTAGACCTAGTTTAGTCCTGATTTACTCCTGGTTCAGTCCTTGTTTACTCCTGGTTTAGTCCTGGTTCTGTCTCTTTCAGGTCTGGATGCGGGGGATAACACTCTAAATGTGCTGGTGTCTCTTCGGGCCGGTCTAAGTCTGGTCCAGACCGGGTTCAGGGACTGTTCGAGTCCAGAGGCTCGGGCCGTGGTTCTGAGGGACTACGTGGACTTCATGACCACGCCAGCGTCTCACCGGGATTCCTACGCCGAGTCCTGGCACCGGGACTTCTTCAAGGACTGGAGTCTGGACAGACCCACCTCACCTGAGCAGGTAACATACCCGCCTCACCTGAGCAGGTAACACACCCGCCTCACCTGAGCAGGTAACACACCCGCCTCACCTGAGCAGGTAACACACCCGCCTCACCTGAGCAGGTAAACACACCCGCCTCACCTGAGCAGGTAACACACCCGCCTCACCCGCCTCACCTGAACAGGTAACACACCCGCCTCACCTGCCTCACCTGAGCAGGCAGGTAACACACCCGCCTCACCTGAGCAGGTAACACACCTGCCTCACCTGAGCAGGTAACACACCCGCCTCACCTGAACAGGTAACACACCCGCCTCACCCGCCTCACCTGAGCAGGTAACACACCCGCCTCACCTGAGCAAGTAACACATACAATCACATACAATGTAAGGCAGTAGGAGCCAGAGTCAGAAGGAGCAGGAAGTGCTGCCATGCCCACTTCCTGTTTGGAACACAGTGGCTAGTCTATGGTCAAACTGTGAAAACAAAGCTAACTGCTAGCATGACTGACGTAAATTTGGCAAATGACTCAAACTGAGGAATGAGAGAGTCGACTTTTTCTGTTCCAGATCCTGAATTTCGCAGAGGCTCGGAGTCGCAGGAAGTTAAAGTCTCGTCCGGACTCACAGCTCGACGCCATCGGCTGCTTACCCATGATCCTCCCCTTCGTCCTGCTGTCTGCGTCGGCCAATCAGGAAACAGCAGTGAGTCCCTCTTTCTCTTTCTGATCCGTACTCCCGGTCACTCTGCTGTGGCCTCTGCCTGATCCGTACCTGCATCCATCTTGTGTCGTCAGGTACGTGCGGCGGTAGAGATGGCGACGCTGACCCACCCGCACCCAAACGCCCTCCACACAGTGGCGCTGTACGCCAAAACTCTGCACGCCGTGGTGGGTGGGGCCTGTCTGAGGGAGCAGTCTGAGCACGCTCTGAAAGCTCTCGGCCAATGGGAAACCAGCGTCAGATACAGCAAGCAAGCCCAGAGGTAAACCAGGACTAAACCAGGACTGAACCAGGACAAACCAGGACTGAACCAGGACTAACCCAGAGCTAACCCAGGTCTTGTGCAGGTTCCCGGTGGGGTCTGAGCAGAGGCTGAGGGTCCATCAGAGGGCAGTGGGAGAGCTGGGCCTGGCCTGCTACAGCTCAGGTGAGTCTGGTTCCTGTAGACCAGGTTAGACCTGGTTTAGTTCTGGTCTTGTGCTGGTCTAGTCCTAGTTTAGACCTGGTTTAGTTCTTAGTCCTGACTCTGTGTGTAGGAGCCCTGAGTAGCTTGTTCCATCTGGCCCACGAGTTCCATGACGATCCAGTAGGGGGCATCCTCACCAACACCAACTGCGGAGGTCAGAATTTTATTTATTTATATTTATTATTACAAACTTTACCGTTAAAGTTTATCACACTAAACTGACTCTGAGCTTCACGCTCTAATGCTGCGACCTCTTCAAACACAAACCTGGAGTTGCCTGGAGCTGCCTCACCGTGGTGATGAGTTGGCGTACCCGAATGAGCCTAAGCGCTGTGTTGCCCCCTGGTGGTGTCTCCTGCAGCAAACAGGTCCTCGGTGACGGGTCAGACTAAGAGCCATTCATGAACTCATATGAACAGTCTTATATCAAGCCCGAGGTCCATGATCGATTTTGTCGTTGTGTCATGTGACCTCCGGCCGCGTGTCTTGGACACTCAGGTGAAGAGAGGGGCAGAGCTGTAGAGCTCCACCTGGTGGTGAGTCGGGTTCGCTTGTGGAGGAGGAAACTGGAAAGACCTGGCAGGCCCAAGTGTATCGTGAGGGTCTGTTGGGAATGTCTGGCAGATCCTCTGTCAGCAGGACTTTCAACTCGCACCTCCTGGAGAGTTTCTCCCAGATTCTGGGGGAGTCTGGGGACATGGAGTCCGTGTGGGCTTTGTTCTCGGTCTCTATTGTCGGTGCAGCCGCTCGTAGCTGTGGGTTAGCTGTGGAAGTAAGGGATGCCGTCAGGTTGAAGAAGGAGTCCTATCGGGCCTTGTCGGCTCGTCGGACTTCTGAGGCAGCTGATGGGTACCGCAAGGCCAAGCGCGCTGCAGCCCGTGCGGTCACAAAGGCAAAAACTCAGGGCTGGACGGAGTTCGGGGAGGCCATGGAGGAGGACTATCGGAAGGCCTCAAAGAGATTCTGGCAAACCGTCCGGCGCCTCAGGAGGGGGAAGCAGTTCTTCACCAACACTGTTTACAGTGCGGGGGGAGAGCTGTTCACCTCGACTGGGGACATTGTCCGGCGGTGGAAGAAAAACTTTGAGGATCTCCTCAATCCCACCGTCACGTCTTCCGAGGAGGAAGCCGAGGCTGGGGACTCGGAGGTGGACTCATCCATCACCCTGGCTGAAGTCACTGAGGTGGTTAAAGCTCCTTGGTGGCTCCGGGGGTGGATGAGATCTATCCTGAGGATCTTAAGTCTCTGGATGTTGTGGCTTTGGGCTCACACGTCTCTGCAACATCGCGTGGCGGTCGGGGACAGTGCCCCTGGACTGGCAGGTGACCTGGCCCCAGATAAAGCAAAAAAAATGGATGGATCCGTCCACCTCCAAAGCTCCAAATGCTCGGTTCCAACTTGAGATGGTGGCAGATTCCAAGTGAACAGCTCCTTTGCTCCTTTTCCCTTTAGTTCAGTAGATATCGGCAACTCCAGGACTGAAATGCTCCAGGTGATTCTAGTGAAGGTGTGTGGAGTTTAAAAACACAGTGGAGCACTTCCTGTATCACCACATGATGACATCACAAGGTGGAACAGAGTGTTTTCAGCGAGAAGAACTCGCGCTAAATGTGCAGGTTTGTGTGTTAAACATGTGAATGAAAGAAAACACAACTCCAGGTCTGTGTGTGACGAAACGACATCAGAACAAAACAGAGGATTATACAAAAAAAACACCATAGACCAGGTGCAGGTCCTGGAGGTTCTGACTCGTGTCTGATTCTTCAGATTCTTCTGATTCTCTGGTTCTTCTGACTCTCTGGTTTTTGTGGCTCTCTGGTTCCTCAGGGGAGAACTGCAGCCGAGGAGCCGCTCTTGGAGCTCTGCTTTGGGCCTCGGCCGCTCGCAGAGACCAGCCCCTTCCCCAGACCTGGACCAGAGCCATGAGGGACGCACAGGACCTCGTACCACAGATAGTACAGGGACTGGACCTGGACTGAACCAGGACTGGACCAGGACTGGAGCAGGACCAGCTGAAGGACAGACCTGTTGCCTGTTCACAGACGAAGCTCTTTGTACATTTTCTCTCCGTCTCTTTTTTATTTCTGATTTTTCTCCGTGACACGTTTTTATTTAATGAAACATTTTTAAAGTGTGAATAAAATCAAAAGAAGGAACTTATGTTTGTCTGAGTGTCAGTCCTGGTTTAGTCCTGGTTTAGTCCTGGATTAGACCCAGATCTTGTGCATGTCTGAAATGTTTTGATTGACAGCTGATGACAGCAGGAAACCACATCTCTTCCTGTTGCTCCATATACGGAGGTTGGTCCATGTCTTATACCCATATTTGGGCATTCTGGTGCTGTTGGTTTTGGTCCTGGACTTTGTTCAGATCAAAATGGCCGCCTCAGTCTCTGGAGTCTTCTGCGTTGTCCTCCTCCTCCTCCCAGCATGCACCTGGACCTCAGGTAAGTCCTGCTCCTGTGGTTAGTCCTGGTTTAGACCCGGTTTAGACCTGATTTAGACCCGGTTTAGACCGAGTTTAGACCCGGTCCAGTTCTGTTTGGGATCTGGACGAGTCCTGGTGTTTTGGGTCATTTTCACGTCGTTCTACCAAAGTCCAGAAATTGATTTTCCTGTTTCCCAAATACAAACAGTGTGAGTACTCTAAATACTACTATTACAACTACTACTACTACTACTCCAAATACTACTATTACAACTACTACTACTACTACTCCAAATACTACTACTACTACTCCAAATACTACTACTACTACTACTACTACTAATGCTATAAATACTACTACTACTACAAATACTACTACTACAAATACTACTACAAATACTACTACAAATACTGCTACAAATTCTACTACTCCTACAAATACTACAACTACTCCAAAAACTACTACTACTACTACAAATATTACTACTACTAGAAATACTACTAATGCTACAAATACTACTACTACTATTACTACATTTACTACTACTACAAAACTACTACTACTACTACAAATACTACTACTACTACAAATACTACTACTATAAAACTACTACTACAAATACTACAACTACTACAAATACTACTACTATTACTACAAATACTACTACTACAAAACTACTACTACACATACTACTACTACTATTACTACAAATACTACTACTACTACTACTACAAATACTTCTACTACAAATACTACTACTACTTCTACCAGGTCTGAAGACGTTCTTGTTCTGTTTGGGCTTTTGCAGTCTTCCTGGATCCGGGCCGTGCTCACTCGGTCCTGGGTGGGTCTAGACCCGGTTCAGGCCGGGTTCTGGTCCGGACTCGCAGGGCCAACGGGTTCCTGGAGGAGCTGAGGGTGGGGAACCTGGAGCGAGAGTGTGTGGAGGAGAAGTGCTCCTACGAAGAACTCAAAGAGATCTTTCCTCAGAAGCAGCAGCGGGTCAGAACCAAGAGCCGTAACCCAAAACCCACTAACCCAAAACCCACTAACCCAAAACCCACTAACCCAAAACCCACTAACCCTAAACCCAAAAACCCATAACCCAAACCCACTAAACCCAAACCCAAAACCCACTAACCCTAAACCCAAAACCCACTAACCCAAAACCCACTAACCCAAAACCCACTAACCCAAAACCCAAAACCCACTAACCCAAAACCCACTAACCCAAAACCCAAAACCCACTAACCCAAAACCCACTAACCCAAAACCCAAAAACCCACTAACCCTAAACCCAAAACCCACTAACCCAAAACCCACTAACCCACTAACCCAAAACCCACTAACCCAAAACCCACTAACCCAAAACCCACTAAACCCAACCCAACTAACCCAAAACCCACTAACCCAAACCCACCCACTAACCCAAAACCCACTAACCCTAAACCCCAAAACCCACTAACCAAAACCCAAACCCACTAACCCAAAACCCAAACCCAAACCCAAAAACCCACTAAACCCAAACCCACCCACTAACCCAAAAACCACTAACCCAAAACCCACTAACCCAAAACCCAAAAACCCACTAACCCAAAACCCAAAACCCACTAACCCTAAAACCCAAACCCAAACCCACTAACCCAAAACCCACTAACCCTAACCCAAACCCACTAACCCAAACCCAAAACCCAAAACCCAAAACCCTAACCCAAAACCCACTAACCAAAACCCACTAACCCAAACCCAAAACCCACTAACCCTAAACCCAAAACCCACTAACCCAAAACCCACTAAACCCAAACCCTAAACCCAAAACCCACTAACCAAAACCCACTAACCCAAAACCCACTAAACCCTAAAAACCCAAAAACCCACTAACCCAAAACCCACTAAACCCAAAACCCACTAACCCACTAACCCTAAACCCAAAACCCACTAACCCAAAAACCCACTAACCCAAAACCCACTAACCCACTAACCCCAAAACCCACTAACCCAAAACCCACCCACTAACCTAAACCCACTAACCCTAAACCCAAAACCCACTAACCCAAAACCCACTAACCCAAAAAACCCACTAACCCAAAACCCAAACCCACTAACCCAAACCCTAAAAACCCAAAACCCACTAACCCAAAACCCAAAAAACCCACTAACCCAAACCAAACCCAAACCCAAACCCACTAACCAAAACCCACTAACCCTAAACCCAAAACCCACTAACCCAAAACCACTAACCCAAAACCCAAAACCCACTAACCCAAAACCCCACTAACCAACCCAACCCACTAAACCCAAAACCACTAACCCAAAAAACCCACTAACCCAAAACCCACTAACCCTAAACCCAAAACCACTAACCCAAAACCAAAAAACCCACTAACCCAAAACCCACTAAACCCAAACCCACTAACCCAAAACCCAAAACCCACACCCTAACCCAAAACCCAACCCAAAACCCAAACCCAAAAACCCACTAACCCTAAACCCAAAACCCACTAACCCAAAACCCACTAACCCAAAACCCACTAACCCTAAAAAAACCCACTAACCCAAAACCCACTAACCCTAAACCCAAAACCCACTAACCCAAAACCCACTAACCCACTAAACCCAAAACCCACTAACCCAAAACCCACTAACCCTAAACCCAAAACCCACTAACCCAAAACCCAAACCCAAACCCTAAACCCAAAACCCAAAACCCACTAACCCAAAACCCACTAACCCAAAACCCACTAACCCAAAACCCACTAACCCTAAACCCCCCACTAACCAAAACCCACTAACCCTAAAAACCCAAAACCCAAAAAACCCACTAACCCTAAACCCAAAACCCACTAACCCAAAACCCACTAACCCAAAACCCACTAACCCAAAACCCACTAACCCTAAAACCCAAAACCCACTAAACCCAAAACCCACTAACCCTAAAACCACTAACCCAAAAACCCAAAACCCAAAACCCAAAACCCAAATCCCACTAACCCTAAACCCAAATCCCACTAACCCAAACCCCACTAACCCTAAACCCAAACCCACTAACCCAAAACCCACTAACCCAAATCCCACTAACCCAAACCCACTAACCCAAAACCCACTAACCCAAAACCCACTAACCCAAAACCCAAAAAACCCAAACCCAAACCCAAAACCCACTAACCCAAAACCCAAAACCCACTAAACCCAAAAACCCACTAACCCAAAACCCACTAACCCAAAACCCACTAACCCTAAACCCAAAACCCACTAACCCAAAACCCACTAACCCAAACCCAAAACCCAAACCCACTAAACCCACTAAACCCACTAAACCCAAAACCCACTAACCCAAAACCCACTAACCCTAAACCCAAAAACCCACTAACCCAAAAACCCACTAACCCTAAAACCCACTAAACCCACTAACCCAAAACCCAAAACCCTAAACCCAAAACCCACTAACCCAAAACCCACTAACCCTAAAACCCAACCCACTAACCCAAAAACCCACTAACCCAAAACCCACTAACCCTAAACCCAAAACCCACTAACCCAAAACCCACTAACCCAAAACCCACTAACCCAAAACCCAAAACCCACTAACCCAAAACCCAAAACCCACTAACCCAAAACCCACTAACCCAAAACCCACTAACCCCCAAAACCCAAAAAACCCACTAACCCAAAACCCACTAACCCTAAACCCAAAACCCAAAAAAACCCACTAACCCAAAACCCACTAACCCAAAACCCACTAACCCTAAACCCAAAACCCACTAACCCAAAACCCACTAACCCAAAACCCACTAACCCTAAACCCAAAACCCACTAACCCAAAACCCACTAACCCAAAACCCACTAACCCAAAACCCACTAACCCAAAACCCACTAACCCAAAACCCACTAACCCTAAACCCACTAACCCAAAACCCACTAACCCTAAACCCAAAACCCACTAACCCAAAACCCACTAACCCTAAACCCTAAGCCCAAAACCCACTAACCCAAAACCCACTAACCCAAAACCCACTAACCCAAAACCCAAAACCCACTAACCCAAAACCCACTAACCCAAAACCCACTAACCCAAAACCCACTAACCAAAAAAACCCAAACCCACCCAAAAACCCACTAACCCAAACCCACTAACCCAAAACCCACTAACCCAAAACCCACTAACCCACTAACCCAAAACCCACTAACCCAAACCCAAACCCACTAACCCAAAACCCACTAACCCAAAACCCACTAACCCAAAACCCACTAACCCTAAACCCAAAACCCACTAACCCAAAACCCACTAACCAACCCTGACCCGTACTGACCCGTACTGACCGTAGATTATCGGCACCATTGACCTGAATCAGACACTTTACAAACTGACCAATCAAACTGAAGCAGAGCCGAGGAGCTGTTTAAACCGACCAATCAGACGCAGGTTGTGATTAAATATTTCTGTGTTTTTCAGGAAAATTTTTGGGCCAAATACCAAGGTACAAATATCTGATTTTAATGTATGCCCCGGGCACCGCGGGCATGAAAAACAAAAAACAGGAAGTGGGAGTTTGAGCCACAACCACTGCTGGACTCGATTGCATTAGACTCGACTGCATTGGACTCGACTGCATTGGACTCGACTGCATTAGACTCGACTGCATTGGACTCGACTGCATTAGACTCGACTGCATTAGACTCGACTGCATTAGACTCGACTGCATTAGACTCGTTTATTTGGAACTGATGGTTATTTATCAAAATTTACACCTGCACTGGAGTTTAAAGGGACCTGGTGGCTCATAAAACCAAGATATTATTTGGTATTTTATGGTAATACATGTGTAATACTTGTGTAGTACACATGTATTACTTGTGTAGTACTTGTGTAGTACACATGTAGTACTTGTGTAGTACTTGTGTAGTACATGTGTAGTACATGTGTAGTACATGTGTAGTACATGTGTAGTACTTGTTTAATACTTGTGTAGTACTTGTGTAATACTTGTGTAGTACTTGTGTAGTACACATGTAGTACTTGTGTAGTACACATGTAGTACTTGTGTAGTACACAAGTACTACACAAGTAATACACATGTAGTACTTGTGTAGTACTTGTGTAGTACACAAGTACTACACAAGTAATACACATGTAGTACTTGTGTAGTACATGTGTAGTACTTGTTTAATACTTGTGTAGTACTTGTGTAATACTTGTGTAGTACCTGTGTAGTACACATGTAGTACTTGTGTAGTACTTCTGTTGTACTTGTGTAGTACATGTGTAGCACTTGTGTAGTACTTGTACTTGTGTTTTGTTTTGAGCTGGGGACCCGTGTGACTCCGCCCCCTGTCAGAATGGGGCCACGTGCACGCGCCTCGTCACCACCTTCACCTGTAAATGTGCACCTGGTTTCCATGGACACCTGTGTGATAAAGGTACTAATATACTGCACTACTACTACTACTACTACTGCTACTACTACTACTGCCACTGCTACTACTACTACTACTACGACTACTACTACTACTACTACTACTACTGTCACTGCTACTATTTCTACTACTACTACTACTACTGCTACTACTACTACTGCCACTGCTACTACTACTACTACTACTACTACTACTACTACTACTACTACTACTACTGCTACTGCCACTGCTACTGCTGTCACTGCTACTATTTCTACTACTACTACTGCTGCTACTACTACTGCCACTGCTACTACTACTACTACTACTACTTTTACTACTACTACTACTACTGCTGCTACTACTACTGCCACTGCTACTACTACTACTACTACTACTACTACTACTACTACTACTACTTACTACTACTACTACTACTACTACTACTACTACTACTACTACTACTACTACTACTACTACTACTACTACTACTACTACTACTACTACTGCCACTGCTACTGCCACTACTACTACTACTACTACTACTACTACTACTACTACTACTGTGAAATTAGGTATTATACTATAAATGCGGCTTTGGCCCAGGACTAAACCGGGTCTAAAGTTTTTGTTATTTCTGTCCCAACTTCTTCTCAAAATCTTAATTTTTCAGATTTTTTTTTTTTTTTTTTTTACATTTATTTCACAATTTTATATCCAATATTTTTTTTTACCCATCTCAAAAATAATTTTCCTAAATCGTGGATGTCGTTGTTCCCTCAGCGCGGTCGCCGCCGTCCTTGTCGTCGAACTGCAGACACAGAAATGGCGGCTGTGAGCACTTCTGCGCCGACGGTGCTGAGCGCGCTGAGATGTGCTCCTGCGTAGACGGCTACAGGCGGGAACAGGACAACGCCAGCTGCACTCCTATTGGTCAGAACCACACAACCAGCCAATCAGAGAACAGCACACAACCAGCCAATCAGAGAACAGCCCACAACCAAGCACAGCACACAACCAACCAATCAGGGTGCAGCACACAACCAGCCAATCAGAGCGCAGCGCACAACCAGCTGACTCCACACAGCCAATCATGTGGTCCGATCCATATATTATATTGGTATTATCAGATTTTTGAAATGTAATAATGAAAAAATAATCAAAAACAAAAACACTATTAATATATTATGATTAAATGTGCTTTTTGGATTTAAAACAACCACAGTATGGATGATGGTTAGCACAAAGCTACTGTTAAAGAATGTCTCCCTCTAGTGGACAGTGTGTGTAACGTGTGTCTCCCTCTAGTGGACAGTGTGTGTAACGTGTGTCTCCCTCTAGTGGACAATGTGTGTTAGTGTCTCCCTCTAGTGGACAGTGTGTGTTAGTGTCTCCCTCTAGTGGACAGTGTGTGTTAGTGTCTCCCTCTAGTGGACAGTGTGTGTAACGTGTGTCTCCCTCTAGTGGACAGTGTGTGTAACGTGTGTCTCCCTCTAGTGGACAGTGTGTGTAACGTGTGTCTTCTGCAGTGTCTTTCCCGTGTGGACGTCCTCAGGTTTTTTTTGCTCCCAGAGTCGTGAACGGACAAGTGTGTCCCAAAGGACACTGCCCCTGGCAGGTAAATACACAAATATACTGTTCTATTCTACTACTAGTACTACTACTACTACTACTGCTACTACTACCACTGCTACTGCTACTACTGCTACTGTGACTACTACTACTACTACTACTACTACAACTACTACAACTACTACTACTACAAATACTACTACTACTACTACTACTACTACTACTACTACTACTACTACTACTACTACTACTACTACTACTACTACTACTAAACTACTACTACTACTACTACTACTACTACTACTACTACTACTACTACTACTACTACAAATACTACTACTACTACTACTACAAATACTACTACTACTACTACTACTACTACTACTACTACTACTACTACTACTACTACTACTACTACTACTACTGCTACTACTACTTACTACTATTACTACTACTGCTGCTGCTGTTACTTCTACTACTACTACTACTACTACTACTACTACTGCTACTACTACTACTACTACCACTGCTACTGTTACTACTACTACTATTACTACTGCTACAGTTGCTACTACTACTACTACAGTACTGCTAATGTGCTACTACCTCCTGCCCTGTCACCCCTGTCACCCCTGTCACCTCCTGTCGTCCCTGTCGTCCCTGTCGTCCCTGTCGTCCCTGTCGTCCCCCTCACCTCCTGTCGCCCCTGTCGCTCCTGTAGGGGCTCCTGACGGAGAACCACGTGTTCACGTGTGGAGCTGTCGTCCTGAGTCCTCGCTGGGTCCTGACGGCGGCGCACTGTGTCCTGCCCAAACCCAGAAGTGTGTTCCACATCACCGTCGGTAAGTCCTGGTCTAGTCCTGGTTTAGACCTGGTTCTGACCTGGTTTAGACTCAGTTTAGACCCAAATTAGTCCTGGTTCTGACCCGGTTTAGACTCAGTTTAGACCCGGATTAGACCTGGTTCTGACTCGGTTTAGACTCAGTTTAGACCCGGATTAGTCCTGGTTCTGACCGGTTCTGACTCGGTCTGTGTCTCAGGGGAGCACGATCGTTTTCTGCCAGAGAACACGGAGCAGAAGCGGCGTGTGGTCAAAGTGGTGGTTCACCCGAATTATAACCGGACTTCCTCGGACTCGGACTTGGCTCTACTCAAACTGCACGAAAACGTGAAGCTGGGCCAGTACGTGATCCCGGCCTGCCTCCCTGGACCCAGAGTCCCGGCCCCTGATTCGGTCTCTAGTCCGGTCCCAGGTCCGGTCTTGGGTCTGGCCCGGACTCTGGCTTCGGTCCGGGTTTCGACGGTGTCCGGGTGGGGGCGGGTGGTGCAGCACGGGCAGGCGGCCAATGTACTGCAAAGAGTCAACGTGAGTACTTTTACAAAAGTACTAATACTACCAACACTCTTAGTAGTAGTAGAAGTAGCAGTAGCAGTAGTACTAGTAGTAGTAGTAGTAGTAGTAGTAGCAGTAGCAGTAGTAGCAGTAGTAGTAGCAGTAGTAGTAGTAGCAGTAGCAGTAGTAGTAGTAGTAGCAGCAGTAGCAGTAGTAGCAGTAGCAGTAGTAGTAGTAATAATAGTAGTAGTAGTAGTAGTAGTAGTAGTAGTAGTAGTAGTAGTAGTAGTAGTAGTAGTAGTAGTACTCGTAGTAGTACTCGTAGTATAAATCCTGGTGTTCCTCAGGTTCCTCGGGTCCGGACTCTGGACTGTCGCGCTCACACGGGGCTGAACATCTCCAGGAACATGCTTTGCTTTGGACTTCGCTCCGGGGGCCAGGACTCGTGCGAGGGCGACTCGGGGGGGCCCCTGGTCACCCGCTTCAGGAAGACCTGGTTCCTGACCGGGATCGTGTCCTGGGGCCGGGGCTGCGCCGCCAGGGGCCAGTACGGCGTCTACACCCGCGTCGCCAACTACCTGCCCTGGATCTACAGCACCATCGACAGAAACTAGAGCCAAAATGTCCGCCGCACCATGACAGAAACTAGAGCCAAAATGTCCGCCGCACCATGACAGAAACTAGAGCCAAAATGTCCTGACCCTGACTGGAGCCGAACGCTGACCCTGACCCTGACTCTGACCCTGACCCTGACCGGAGCTGAACGCTGACCCTGACCCTGACCCTGAGTCTGACCCTGAGTCTGACCCTGACTCTGACCCTGACTCTGACCCTGACCGGAGCTGAACGCTGACCCTGACTCTGACCCTGAGTCTGACCCTGACTCTGACCCTGACCCTGACTCTGACCCTGACTCTGACCCTGACCGGAGCCGAACACTGACCCTGACCCTGACTCTGACACTGACCCTGACTCTGACCCTGACTCTGACCCTGACCCTGACTCTGACCCTGACTCTGACCCTGACCGGAGCCGAACACTGACCCTGACCCTGACCGGAGCCGAACACTGACACTGACCCTGACTCTGACCCTGACCGGAGCCGAACACTGACCCTGACCCTGACTCTGACACTGACCCTGACACTGACCCTGACTCTGACCCTGACTCTGACCCTGACTCTGACCCTGACCGGAGCCGAACACTGACCCTGACCCTGACTCTGACCCTGACCCTGACTGGAGCCGAACACTGACACTGACCCTGACTCTGACCCTGACTGGAGCTGAACACTGACCCTGACCCTGACTCTGACACTGACCCTGACTCTGACCCTGACTCTGACCCTGACCGGAGCCGAACACTGACACTGACACTGACCCTGACTCTGACCCTGACCGGAGCTGAACACTGACCCTGACTCTGACACTGACCCTGACTCTGACCCTGACTCTGACCCTGACCGGAGCCGAACACTGACACTGACCCTGACTCTGACCCTGACCGGAGCCGAACACTGACCCTGACCCTGACTCTGACCCTGACTGGAGCCGAACACTGACACTGACCCTGACTCTGACACTGACCCTGACCGGAGACCGAACACTGACCCTGACCCTGACCGGAGCCGAAACACTGACCCTGACCCTGACCGGAGCCGAACACTGACACTGACCCTGACTCTGACCCTGACCGGAGCTGAACACTGACTCTGACCCTGACTCTGACACTGACCCTGACTCAGACCCTGACTGGAGCTGAACACTGACCCTGACCCTCACTCTGACCCTGACCGGAGCCGAACACTGACACTGACCCTGACTCTGACCCTGACCGAAGCTGAACACTGACACTGACCCTGACTCTGACACTGACCCTGACTCTGACCCTGACTCTGACCCTGACTCTGACCCTGACCGGAGCCGAACACTGACACTGACCCTGACTCTGACCCTGACCCTGACCGGAGCCGAACACTGACACTGACCCTGACTCTGACCCTGACCGGAGCTGAACACTGACCCTGACCCTGACTCTGACACTGACCCTGACTCTGACCCTGACTCTGACCCTGACCGGAGCCGAACACTGACCCTGACCCTGACTCTGACCCTGACCGGAGCCGAACACTGACCCTGACCCTGACTCTGACCCTGACCGGAGCCGAACACTGACACTGACCCTGACCCTGATCGGAGCTGAACACTGACCCTGACCCTGACTCTGACCCTGACCGGAGCCGAACACTGACACTGACACTGACCCTGACCCTGACCGGAGCTGAACACTGACCCTGACCCTGACTCTGACCCTGACCCTGACCGGAGCCGAACACTGACACTGACCCTGACTCTGACCCTGACCGGAGCTGAACACTGACCCTGACCCTGACTCTGACACTGACCCTGACTCTGACCCTGACTCTGACCCTGACCGGAGCCGAACACTGACACTGACCCTGACCCTGACTCTGACACTGACCCTGACTCTGACCCTGACTCTAACCGGAGCCGAACACTGACCCTGACCCTGACTCTGACCCTGACTGGAGCCGAACACTGACACTGACCCTGACCCTGACCGGAGCTGAACACTGACCCTGACCCTGACTCTGACCCTGACCGGAGCTGAACACTGACCCTGACTCTGACACTGACCCTGACACTGACCCTGACCGGAGCCGAGCGCTGTGGTGGCGTCACACTCACTCGGGGTCAGGGTTCTTTGTTGGGTGTGTGGAGCCGACAGGTGGACCTGCAGCGGGACAGGTGGACCTGCAGCGGGACAGGTGGACCTGCAGCGGGACAGGTGGACCTGCAGCGGACATGTTGGCTCTGTTTCTCTCTGGACTCTTTATGTTTCATCTGCTTCAGCTCTGTTCATGTTTTATCGATACAATCTTATTTTAATTTAAATCCGCTGATGTCATGTGACCGTGTGATTCTGATGTTATTTCAAATACAAGAGTTTAGTTTTACTCACAGGAACAAGAGAAATAAAATAAATGTGACGTCTTTTAAACTGTAAATCCTGAATAAACATCATTATTTTGTGTTTAAAGTCAGTCTTTTCCTTTTATACAAACTGTGCCAATATAGACCTGGCTTAGACCTGATTTAGTCCTGGTTCAGACCTGGTATAGTCTTGGTTCAGTTCTGGTTCAGACCTGGTTTATTCCTGGTTCAGACCTGGTTCAGACCTGGTTTAGTCCTGGTTCAGACCTGGTTCAGACCTGGTTTAGTCCTGGTTCAGTCCTGGTTCAGACCTGGTTTAGTCCTGGTTCAGTCCTGGTTCAGACCTGGTTTAGTCCTGGTTCAGACCTGGTATAGTCTTGGTTCAGTCCTGATTTAGTCCTGGTTCAGACCTGGTTTAGTCCTGGTTCAGTCCTGGTTCAGACCTGGTTTAGTCCTGGTTCAGACCTGGTTCAGTCCTGGTTTAGTCCTGGTTCAGACCTGGTTCAGTCCTGGTTTAGTCCTGGTTCAGACCTGGTTCAGTCCTGGTTTAGTCCTGGTCTTTGGTCTTGGTCTTACTGATGTTGATTTAATCTTTCAAACAGTCGGGTCATTAAGGATGTGGAGGTATTGTTTTAGTCCTGGTTCAGACCCGGTCTTTGGGGGGTCCCGGCTCAGGTCTTGGCTCAGAGGCTGGTTCAGGTCTCAGGTCCGGGTCCAAGTCTCAGTGGGGTCTCTCTGAAGTGCCCACAGGGGGCGCTGCAGATGAACCATTCAAACAGCAGGAGACTAACGACTTTCTAATGAGTCTCACACAGAGAAGCTTTATGTGGAAGACAAAGGAGCAGAGAGGGGACGCATCCGGGACCAGGACCAGGACCGGGACCTGGATTGGGACTGAAACTGAGACTGAACCAGGACGGGACTGGGACTGAACCAGGACTGAGCCCTAGACTGGAGAACTGGACCAGTGTTCAGTGTTGGAGCTGAGACTAGAGTATATAAGGATATATATATATATATATATATATATATATATATATATATAGAGAGAGAGAGAGAGAGAGAGAGAGAGAGAGAGAGAGAGAGAGAGAGAGAGAGAGAGAGAGAGAGAGAGAGAGAATAATATATATAGAGTATACATATATAGAGTATATATATATGAGAGAGTATATATATATTATATATATATATGTATAGAGTATATATATAGAGTTTAGTATATATAGAGTATACATATATAGAGTATACATATATAGAGTATATATATATATATATAGAGAGAGAGTATATATATATATATATATATATATATATATACATACATATATATATGTATGTATATATATATATATATATATATATATATATATATATATATATATATATATATATAGAGAGAGAGAGAGAGAGAGAGAGAGAGAATAGTATATATAGAGTATACATATATAGAGTATATATATAGAGAGAGTATATATATATATATATAGAGTATATATATAGAGTTTAGTATATATAGAGTATACATATATATAGAGTATACATATATAGAGTATATATATATATATAGAGAGAGTATATATATATATATATATATATATATACATACATATATATATGTATATATATATATATATATATATATATATATATATATATAGAGAGAGAGAGAGAGAGAGAATAGTATATATAGAGTATACATATATAGAGTATATATATAGAGAGAGTATATATATATATATATATATAGAGTATATATATAGAGTTTAGTATATATAGAGTATACATATAGAGTATATATATATATAGAGAGAGTATATATATATATATATATATAATTATATATATATAGAGTATATATAGTATATACATATAGAGTATATATATATATATATATATATATATATATATAGAGAGAGAGAGATATATATATATATATATATATATATATAGAGTATATATATAGAGTATAGTACATATAGAGTATATATATATATATATATATATATATATATATATATATATATATATATATATATAGAGTATAGTAGCTGGAGCTATAGCACGACACAAACAGGAGGAGGCGCTGTTGTCTTTGGTGAACTTTATTTACATGATTACACTTGACCGACCAATCAGAGCGGCCGACAGAGCAGCAGCCAATCAGAAGCAGCGTGTGGAGCAGCAGAATAAACATGACCTCTGACCCCCACCTCCTCTGTGACTGTTCCAATGTGAGGAAATGTGCCGCAGTGGGGCTTTAAACCAGACCTAGTCTTTAAACAGTCAGATCTTTTCATGTTTCATTGTCGTTTATATTTCGGCAAGAGTATTTATTTATTTTTATTTTTTTGCGATTGTTTGGCTAAAACGTATTTGGTTCTTAATAATCGCATGTATCTCCATATCGTGATAGTATCGTGTATCGTGCACCGTGCATCGTGCATCGTGTATCGTGTGTCGTGTATCGTGTATCGTGCATCGTGTATCGTGTGTCGTGCGTCGTGTCTCGTGCGTCGTGTATCGTGCATCGTGTATTGTGTATCGTGCATCGTGCATCGTGTATCGTGCATCGTGTATCGTGTATCGTGCATCGTGCATCGTGTATCGTGTATCGTGCATCGTGTATCGTGTATCGTGTATCGTGCATCGTGTATCGTGCATCGTGTATCGTGTATCGTGCATCGTGCATCGTGTATCGTGTATCGTGCATCGTGTATCGTGTATCGTGTATCGTGCATCGTGTATCGTGCATCGTGTATCGTGTATCGTGCGTCGTGTATCGTGTGTCGTGTATCGTGCGTCGTGTATCGTGTATCGTGCATCGTGTATCGTGTATTGTGCGTCGTGTATGTGCGTCGTGTATCGTGCATCGTGTATCGTGCATCGTGTATCGTGCGTATCGTGTATCGTGTATCGTGTATCGTGCATCGTGTATCGTGCATCGTGTATCGTGTATCGTGTCGTGCATCGTGTATCGTGCATCGTGATCGTGTATCGTGCGTGCATCGTGCATCGTGCATCGTGATCGTGCATCGTGCATCGTGCATCGTGTCGTGCATCGTGCATCGTGCATCGTGCATCGTGTATCGTGCATCGTGCATCGTGCATCGTGTTCGTGCGTCGTGCGTCGTGCGTCGTGCATCGTGCGTCGTGCATCGTGTATCGTGCATCGTGCATCGTGCATCGTGTATCGTGAGGGACCCTGTGATTCCAGCTCTGTCAGAACTATAGAGACACACAGAAGAACTACAGGTGTGATTTTTGTTCTACTGCAGTGTCCTCCTCAGAAACATTCACATGTTTAAAGGTTGTACAGAGGATTTTCCAAGGAAAGAGAAACACAATAACTGTTCCGATGAGGTTCTTTTGGTCTTCCGATAATTTACGTTATTAGGTTCTTTTTTCAGACCAAGAGTTTGTTTGTTCTTTGTTACAGCAACATCACATGAAAAAAGAAAATAATAACATACAATGACTGTTTGTCTTTTTTCCTCCTCCACAGCTCCCGAAGTAGAAACACCTCCTCCTGACGCTACGTAGGAAGACGCCGCCAAAACCTGTTTAAATCAGCTGAGCGACATGTCACAGCAACATCATGTGACTCTGATGAAAAGCACAGGACGAAAACAAACTCTGGGTGTGAAAAAAGAACCTAAGAACATAAATTATAAGAACCTCATTGGAGACATCATGTTTGTTTACAGCCGCTGTGAGTTCAAGAATCACTAAACGAATCGCTGTTGAAGTTTCCTGTCTAGAAGTAATTTATCGACCGACCAGGAGTGTCAAACATACGGCCCGGGGGCCAGACCCGGCCCTCCAAGACCTTTAATCTGGCCCTGGGCTGATTTTCTACTAAAATATTTGAATTATATTTTCTATTAAAATCGTGTTAATTTTCTGTGGTGTTTATCACAGCAGCGTCTCCAGCGTCTCTGTACGTGGCCCCTCCCACCAGAGCAGCACAAATGAAGACTTGTCTCTTTCCAAACGCTCTTAAAGGACGATCGTTTTGACTGTTGACCATGACACCCGCATCAGAAAAATGTCCAACATGAGAAAAGTGGAGCCGAGTGCAGGATTTTACAACAAAAATTTACTTATTCCTGTTTACAGACAAGTTCATGTTAAAACTTTGTGTTGAAATTGTATTTTTCTTAAAGTTTCAGGTTGTTCATAATATTATAATATTATGTAACAGAAAGAGTTCATCAATTCAAAAAGATTTCTGTAATAGATTTGTGTTTGAACTTATTGTTTTTTGGGGGGTTTATATGCCATGAGTTTTCTGATTCGGACACTTTGGATCAAAGTCGGTTGGATACGACCCCCGGAACAAAATGAGTTTGACACTTCTGATTTAGACCCTTTGTCTGCCTCAGGACGAAACTCCAAGACTCACCTAAAGCCGCTATGAAATTTTTAATATATTTTGAGCCAGTTTTTCACTTGTGCAACTGTTTTTGGGATTGGGCCGAGTTTTGGTTTAATCATGTGCTTCGTGTAGGAACATGAAGTAACAAGAACCGATCAATACCTCACTGATCGCCAATCGTAGGTCACAAGAATATCAAACCTGTTTGAATCCAGTCGCCTCTCGTGAGGGTTTCCCACCGAGCATCAGACTGTGTAGTGTGCGAACATGAATCATGAGCTGTGAACGTTTTAACCCTGTGATTTGTTCTTGCAGTTTGAGCTGAGTGAAACAATCGAAAATATCGCACAGTGTTCGTCCGGCTTTAGTTTGACTTTGCTCCTTTTCCCCTTCTCTTCTTCTTTCAGCGACAGCAAAAAGAAAAATTCAGTTTGTTTGTTGACAAATAAAATTTCTCCTTTTGCTATGGATTCTACCTGGATGTCTGAGGGATCGTACAAACTTCACTTTCAGCGATCTCGTAAACGGACTTTCTTTTGCAGCAAACTGGTCATGGATTCTCGTCGGTCATCGTGACAAACGGGTAAACGGCGTCTTGCGTCTGTGGAACATACGAGAGACGAACATAAACCCAGCGCGCCGGCGAGTCGGTTACACTAGAAATGTAGGGAGTTTGATTGACAACCTAAATGTTTATCTGGCTCCAACACGTCCACAGTAGATGGATTTTCATTCTTTTTTTAATTTTGTTCATCATAATTCCAAAGCTGCAACGATATTTTGAACTTTCATCGACAATTTGAAACAAAAAAAAATCCTCCATACAACCTTTACGTGATTCTGCACATTTAGCACAGCTCACAGCACACTGTTACACCTGGTGATGTCATCAGGTGGTGCTCCTCTGGGTTTTTAAAGTTGACTCTTCATCACAGATGCAGAGGCTGTGGTCCAGACGTGTTTAAAGCAAAATACATGAACTTTAAGTGGCGTCCATTTTGTGTCAGACATACTCCTGCCTGGCCCCGCCCCTCTGCCCCGTAGCCCCGCCCCTCTGCCCCGTAGCCCCGCCCCTCTGCCCCGTAGCCCCGTCCCTCTGCTCCGTAGCCCCGCCCTCCTCCCGGCAGGAGCTCCACAGCGCCCCCGCGGTCAGGACGTAGACGACGGCGGAGGTCCATCCCAGGAACAGGCCAAGGCCCAGGTCCCAGCGCGGCGCCATCTGCAGCGCGGCGTCCTCACGAAAGCGCCGCACCGTCACGTGCCCCGCCCACGACACAGGACACGCCTCCAACGCCGCCGCCAGCACGCACAGCACCGCCCCGCAACCGCGAAGTCTGCGCTTCAACACCTCAGGAGACGCCCCGCCCACACACTGAGGAGACGACACAGAGGTCAGGAGCAGACAGGAGCAGACAGGAGCAGACAGGAGCAGACAGGAGCAGGCAGGAGCAGACAGGAGCAGGCAGGAGCAGACAGGAGCTGGCAGGAGCAGACAGGAGCTGGCAGGGGCAGGCAGGGACAGGCAGGGGCAGGCAGGGACAGGCAGGAGCAGACAGGGACAGGCAGGAGCAGACAGGAGTAGGCAGGAGCAGACAGGGGCAGACAGGAGTAGGCAGGGACAGACTGACAGGCAGGAGCAGACAGGAGCTGGCAGGGGCAGGCAGGGACAGGCAGGAGCAGACAGGGACAGGCAGGAGCAGACAGGAGTAGGCAGGAGCAGGCAGGAGCAGACAGGGGCAGACCTTGGGCAGCCGTACGAGCCTGAGTCCGGGCACGGTGACGGCGACGGCGGCGGCTCCGCTCAGCAGCGCCCCCAGCAGGAGGCCCCGCCCCAGCAGCAGCGGCAGGGGGAGGCTGAGGAGCGAACTGTGAGGTTTACAGCTGAAGACCGTCTCCTGGACCACGCAGCCCGACCACAGACCCACCTGAACCTTCTCCAGCTCCACCAGCTCCGACTGAAGCTCCATCCACGGACACAGGCAGCACGACAGGGCCAGCAGCCAGGAGCACAGCAGGGCCGGCAGGGACAGCAGCTCCAGCAGGGGGCAGGGGGCGGGGACGGGGGCAGAGGGGGCGGGGACACGGGGAGAGGGGGCGTCTGACCGGGGCATCTGGGTTAAACCGGCTGAGGGACACACAGGAAGAACATGATGTGAGTTTGAGTTTGAGGGTTTCTCAGACTGTTCTTCCAGAATATCAAACACACAACAACAACCACGCAACAACAACCACGCAACAACAACCACGCAACAACAAACACGCAACAACAACCACGCAACAACAACCACGCAACAACAACCACGCAACAACAACACGCAACAACAACCACGCAACAACAAACACGCAACAAACAACCACACAACAACACAACCACGCAACAACAAAACACGCAACAACAAACACGCAACAACAACACGCAACAACAACCACGCAACAACAACCACGCAACAACAACAAACCACGCAACAACAAACACGCAACAACAACACGCAACAACCACGCAACAAACAACCACGCAAACAACAAACACACAACAACAACCATGCAACAACAACCACACAAGAACAAACACGCAACAACAACCACACAACAACAAACAACAACAACAAACACACAACAACAACCACGCAACAAACAAAACACAACAACAACACGCAACACAACAACCACACAACAACAACAACAACGCAACAACAACCACACAACAACAAACACGCAACAACAAACACACAACAACAACCACGCAACAACAAACACACAACAACAACCACGCAACAACAAACACACAACAACAACCACGCAACAACAACCACGCAACAACAACCACGCAACAACAACAACACAACAACAAACACGCAACAACAACCACGCAACAACAACCACGCAACAACAACCACGCAACAACAACCACGCAACAACAAACACGCAACAACAAACACACAACTACAACCACGCAACAACAAACACACAACTACAACCACGCAACAACAAACACACAACAACAACCACGCAACAACAAACAACAACACACACAACACAACAACAACAACACGCAACAACAACACGCACAACAACACGCAACAACAACACACGCAACAACAAACACAACAACAACAACCACACAACAACAACAAACACGCAACAACAGCCACGCAACAACAACCAACGCAACAACAACCACGCAACAACAACCACGCAACAACAAACAACGCACAACAAACACAACAACACAACAACACACAACAACAACACACACAACAACAACAACAACACACAACAACAACACGCAACAACAACCACGCAACAACAAACACGCAACAACAACCACGCAACAACAAACACGCAACAACAACAAACAACACACAACAAACAACCACGCAACAACAACCACGCAACACAACAACACACAACAACAACCAAACGCAACAACAACCACGCAACAACAACCACAACACGCAACAACAACCACGCAACAACAAACACGCAACAACAAACACGCAACAACAACCACGCAACAACAACACGCAACAACAACACACAACAACAACAACGCAACAACAACCACGCAACAACAAAACAACAAAACAACAAATAAACAACAACAAACACACAACAACAAACACACAACAACAAACATACAACAAATACAAAACAACAAACACACAACAACAACCACGCAACAACAAACACGCAACAACAAACACACAACAACAACCACGCAACAACAAACACGCAACAACAAACACACAACAACAACCACGCAACAACAACCACGCAACAACAAACACACAACAACAAATAAACAACAACAAACACACAACAACAAACACACAACAACAAACATACAACAAATACAAAACAACAAACACACAACAACAACCACGCAACAACAAACACACAACAACAACCATGCAACAACAAACACGCAACAACAAACACGCAACAACAACCACGCAACAACAAACACACAACAACAAACACACAACAACAACAACACGCAACAACAAACAAACAGCAACAAACAAAGACAAACAACAAATAACAAACAACAGCAAACACACAACAACAAACACACAACAACAAACAAACAACAACAAACACGCAACAACAAACACACAACAACAAGCACGCAACAACAAACACACAACAACAACCACGCAACAACAAACACACAACAACAACCACGCAACAACAACCACGCAACAGCAAACACACAACAACAAACACACAACAACAAACACACAACAACAAACACACAACAACAACACGCAACAACAAACACACAACAACAACACACACAACAACAACCACGCAACAGCAAACACACAACAGCAAACACACAACAACAAACACACAACAACAAACAAACAACAACAAACACACAACAACAAACACACAACAACAAACATACAACAAATACACAACAACGCAACAACAAACACACAACAACAAATACACAACAACGCAACAACAAACACACAACAACAAATACACAACGCAACAACAAACACACAACAACAACCACGCAACAACAAACAAATAACAACAAACACACAACAACGCAACAACAAACACACAGCAGCGCAACAACAAACACACAACAACAAATACACAACAAATACACAACAACGCAACAACAAACACACAACAACAAATACACAACAATGCAACAACAAACACAGAACAACAACCACGCAACAACAAACACAAAACAACAAACACACAACAACAAATACACAACAACGCAACAACAAACACAGAACAACAAACACAAAACAACAAACACACAGCAACGCAACAACAAACACAGAACAACAAACAACAACAAACACACAACAACAACCACACAAAAACAAACAAACAACAACAACAAACAACAACAAATGCACAGACCTGATGGAGAGAAGAAGAAGAAGAACGGCAAGAAAACCAGACAAGACAGAGGTCAGGGGAGGGTCAAAGGTTTAGAGGGTCAGAGGAGGGTCAGAGATCAGAGGGTCAGAGGTCAAGGTCAGGAGGGTCAGAGATCAGAGGGTCAGAGGTCAAAGGAGGGTCAGAGGTCAAAGGAGGGTCAGAGATCAGAGGGTCAGAGGTCAAAGGAGGGTCAGAGATCAGAGGGTCAGAGGTCAAAGGAGGGTCAGAGTTTTGTTCCTATAAGCCTTTAAATACAGAATTACAATATTATTTGTATTCATAAACATTTAATTGGACTCACCACACGCGCAGACGGCAGACGTAGACGCAGACGCAGACGTAGACGCAGACGCAGACGCAGATCTGTCTCCTCAAACTCAAACTTCACAAACAAAACTTTTGCTCCATGAAAAAAGAAAAAGACCAAATGTTAAAGTTAAAGTGAATTCAAATGTGCAGCACAGAAGAGCCAGAGACAGAGAGACAGATTCATCCGAGAGGGAGGAAGAACAGAAGAGGGAGGAGGAGAGGAGGGAGAGGGGAGGAGAGAGAGAGAGAGAGAGAGAGAGAGGAAAAAGGAGGGATCAGGGAGGAGAGAAGAGAGGGGAGGGAGGGGAGAGGTGAAAGAGGAAGAGGAAGAGAGAGGGGAGAGAAAGAGAGAGAGGGGGGTGAGAAGACTTGGACAGGAAACACAGGAGGAAGGAAATGTGATGATGAAGAGAAAGTGATGAAGGGCAGGACTGAGGATCACGTTCTTTTGAGCTGTTTGGTCCATGTTTATTATTATTATTATTATTATTATTAGTTTGATCAATATTATTATTTTATATTTTATTACTTTTTTTTACATTTACATAATTATGTCTTATTTGACTCTATCTCTCTCTCTCTTTTTTTTTGTTTTGTTTATTTTTATTTTTGTTTATGTATAATTTATTATCGCCATTTATATTTTTTCTCTTTGTTAATGTATTATTTTGTGATGTTTGTCCAAATCATTTCCCTTGTGGATCAATAAAGTTTGTCTAAGTCTAAGTCTGAGTTATTAGTGTTTAATTACGGCTCCTCTCCCACATGACGCAGAGTAACAGCGCCCCCGAGTGGAAACGGAGATTTACTCAGGTCTTTATTTTTATTATTATTATTTATTTATTTTATTTTATTTTTTTTTTTTTACTGACAGGTAACTCTATTCTATTTATCGTCCTTTTTAAACTTTAAAACGTGGTCTATGTTAAAAAAAAAATTAATTAAATAAAACGAAATAAAGGATGTGACGTCACGGAGCAGGAAGTGGCCTTCTGTAATGGCGGCGTAAACAGACGCGGAGTTTGTTCATTTCACCAAAAGACTTCAGAAAAATCACTGAAAAACGAGTTAAACTTTGGGTTTAAAGGTACGTGGCGTGTTTCCGAGTCAGTGTGCGCTTTGTGTGGACACGCTGCTTGTGTTTGAAACGTCTGTAATCCTCCAGAATATGTTTGATAGCGCGCTGGGATCTCTCGTGTCACTTTGAAGCATTTTCAGTTTAGATTTGTCTAATTAAAATGTATTTTTATTATGAATTTACTTTAAATGTCTATGGTTTAGTATCAAGGGTTTTCTTGTGTCTTTGAAATGTTTTGTTTTTCAGGTCTAATCTGGAGCATGGCTCACATCACCATCAACCAGTATCTCCAGCAGGTGGCGCTCTCAACTCACCGTCAATGTTTAGTTTGGATTCAAACTGACTCAGACTTCATCTGTCTCTTCTCTTCTCTCTCAGCTGTACGAGGCCATAGACAATCGTGATGGAGCGTTCTGTGCTCAGCTGCTGTCGTTTAAACACCCGCATGTCGCCAACCCACGACTACAGGTACAAACACACACAAACGGTACACAAACACACACTCACACACACTCACAAACACTGCAGGTATACAAACACACACTGCAGGTACACAAACACACACTGCAGGTACACAAACACACACTGCAGGTACACAGACACACACAACCGCACAGACACACACTGCAGGTACACAAACACACACACTGAGACGAGGCGATGTCTGATCAGTAGAGATGCAACGATATTCGATATAAGTCTAAACGCAGGTCTAACTCTGGTCTCGGTCTGATATTCGATATAAGTCTAAACGCAGGTCTAACTCTGGTCTCGGTCTGTTTCAGTTGCAGAGTCCAGAGGAGAAGTGTCAGCAGGTGTTGGAGCCTCCGTATGATGAGATGGTGGCGGCGCACCTCAGGTTAGCTCCGAATCCGATTGGATGAAACCAGGACAGGGGCGGGACTCTGAGGCCTCCCTTCACTCTGATTGGTTGTGTCTTTCAGGTGCTGTTACGCTGTGGCCAATCATGACTTTGTAGAGGCCTACAAGTTCCAGACTCTGGTCGTCCAATATCCTTCAGTGATTGTGATCAAATACCACTACTACTACTATTATTACTATTACTACTATGATTACTGCTACTACAATTTCTACTATTACTACTACTATTACTACTGCTCCTCTGTTTTAACGTTTAACTTTACCTGCTCGTCTCCATCTATGCACATGTAGTAGTAAGAGCCTCTGTAGTACACACATGTAGTAGTAAAAGCCTCTGTAGTACACACATGTAATAGTAAGTCTCTGTAGTACACACATGTAGTAGTAGGAGCCTCTGTAGTACACACATGTAGTAGTAGGAGCCTCTGTAGTACACACGTGGTAGGTGGAGCCTCTGTAGTACACACATGTAGTAGTAGGAGCCTCTGTAGTACACATGTAATAGATAGAGCCTCTGTAGTACACACATGTAGTAGTAGGAGCCTCTGTAGTACACACATGTAGTAGCAGGAGCCTCTGTAGTACACACGTAGTAGGTGGAGCCTCTGTAGTACACACATATAGTAGTTGGAGCCTCTGTAGTACACACATGTAGTAGATGGAGCCTCTGTAGTACACACATGTAGTAACAGGAGCCTCTGTAGTACACACATGTAGTAGATGGAGCCTCTGTAGTTCACACATAGTAGATGGAGCCTCTGTAGTACACACATGTAGTAGTAGGAGGCTTTGTAGTACACATGTAATAGATAGAGCCTTTGTAGTACACACATGTAGTAGATGGAGCCTTTGTAGTACACACATGCAGTAGTAGGAGCCTCTGTAGTACACACATGTAGTAGTAGGAGCCTCTGTAGTACACACGTAGTAGGTGGAGCCTCTGTAGTACACACATGTAGTAGTAGGAGCCTCTGTAGTACACATGTAATAGATAGAGCCTCTGTAGTACACACATGTAGTAGTAGGAGCCTCTGTAGTACACACATGTAGTAGCAGGAGCCTCTGTAGTACACACGTAGTAGGTGGAGCCTCTGTAGTACACACATATAGTAGTTGGAGCCTCTGTAATACACACATGTAGTAGATGGAGCCTCTGTAGTACACACATGTAGTAACAGGAGCCTCTGTAGTACACACATGTAGTAGATGGAGCCTCTGTAGTTCACACATAGTAGATGGAGCCTCTGTAGTACACACATGTAGTAGTAGGAGGCTTTGTAGTACACATGTAATAGATAGAGCCTTTGTAGTACACACATGTAGTAGATGGAGCCTTTGTAGTACACACATGCAGTAGATGGAGCCTCTGTAGTACACACATGTAGTAGGTGGAGCCTCTGTAGTACACACATATAGTAGTTGGAGCCTTTGTAGTACACACATGTAGTAGATGGAGCCTCTGTAGTACACACATGCAGTAGATGCAGCCTCTGTAGTACACACATGTAGTGCATATATATAATTTGTAGTTATTTCCTGAACATTCCACGTCATTTCTGAGAGCGTTCCAGTCGCACAAAGAAGAAAACTGGTCAGTCTATTTCTAACTGGTCTTTTGGTCAGAATATTAAATAATGAATAATATATAAACGTATTATCAGACTTTTAATAATGAAAATAAGTGTAACTGTGATTGTGACTTTCCAGGGCTCTCCCGCTGATGTTTGCTGTGACCCTGGACCTCCGGATCTTCGCCAACAACGTCAGAATCTGCACACTGCAATCTGATTCATTCAT